GGGGGTCTGGCTTAGGGGGCGTGGGGGTAAGAGAGGAGGGTTTATATACGGGACGGGGGAGTTGAATTTCGGCCGTTGGATCATTGATGATCAACGGCCTTGATCTTTTCACTTAAAGGGATGACGTCGTTTGGTTTAGTGTTGGGAATGGGTCAATCCGGGTACCAGTGGGTCGGGTATCTGGGGAAAGCTTGGAGCCGTTGGATTGGATGGGATGAACAACTCTGATCGGTCATGCCTAAACGGCGTCGTTCGGATTAATGAGAGAGCTGAACTGGACCGTTAGATCTGTTTGACCAACGGTCCAGATGGAAGGTGCCAAGACGGCGTCGTTTCTTGTGTCTGAGGGACGAACTAGATCAATGTGTTTTGGGCCTGATTTTCCTTGGGTTTAAAATGAGCCCAGGTCCGAATTTTTTCTCAATTTTTTGCACTATTTTCTTTTCCTTCTTTACTTTCTAATTAAAAAAACACAATTTCTAATTAAATTGTAAAATCAAAATAAACTACACAAATATTAATTAACACTTACAATAATCAACACATAAATAAAAATATTTGATTAAAATAAAATCACACAATGACGACACATAAAAGAAAAAATAAGTATTTTTTGCGATTTTCCTTTTAGAACCAAACTATGATTTGATTAATTCCTAAATGCACAATTAAATCCTAAATATGCATGCAACATGTATTTCTTATATTTTATGATTAACTACAACAAAGTAAACATTTACGGACAAAAATAATTACCAAAAATGTCACGCAAATTCTTAAAATTGTACTCGAAGGTAACTTGTTTTATTTTCGATTTCTTTTGGAGTAATTTCCGTGAAGCAAAAATCACGTGCTCACACTCCTGACCACTCGAAACATGGAAGTGGCTGAATATGCTAGCTCAGGTAACACTTCTTATCAAATGCGCCTTTTAAGTTTTAATGAAAGTTGGGGTTTACAGCACAAAAAAGTCTTTGAGAAAGATTGTTTCTCTCCTGAATTTGAAAAGATTGGAAAAGAAATTACATTAAAATGCGGAGGATTACCTCTAGCAATTACTGTGATTGCTGGATTTCTCTCCAAAATTGGTAAAACATTGAATGAGTGGCAAAGTGTTGCTGAGAAAGTAAGGTCAATGGTAAGCACTGATGTTGACGTCCAATGCATGAGAGTGCTTGCTTTGAGTTACCATCAGTTGCCACATCACCTAAAAACATGTTTTCTGTATTTTGCAATCTTCCCAGAGGATGAAGAGATTTATGTCGATAAACTTGTGGAATTATTGGCAGCGGAGGGATTTTTGAAGGTAGAAGAGACGAAAAGCATAGAAGAAGTGGCAGAAAAATGTCTACAAGATTTAATAGATAGAAGTTCACTTTCCATCGATTATGAGATATTTTTTGGAGAGACGAAGTATTGTAGAATACATGACGTGATCCGTGAAATCTGCTTGAAGGAAGCTCGAAACATGAATATAGAGAATTTTATTGGAGAAAACAATGGTCAAAATCCAAGTGCACTATCCATTCATTTTTCCTCAAATAGTCGAGGTCGGACCAGTACCCAATTGAACTACCGTATTATTGGGAAAAAATTGGCTAGATCGTGTCCTAATAATGAGGCTCGTTCTATTTTCTTTTTGAATAGTAAGTCAGGGTTCATGTCAGAGTTGTTGCCTTTCAGGCTAGTAAGAGTACTAGATCTTGCATTAATGAACTTTATTGTTTTTCCCAGTGGGTTACTTGATCTAATTCACTTGAGATACCTAGCTTTGCGTCTTTCTCCTAGCGTGCATTACTATCTAGGAAAAGAGACTCCCTCATCAATAGATATTCCTCCTTCCATATCTAGACTATGTTATTTGGAAACTTTTATTATTTGTCCGCCACCTTACGAGGAACTTACGGCACCTCTATATCCTTTGATATTACCGTCGGAAATTTTGACTATGCCACAACTGAGGCTCCTCCTTTTGGGCTGGACTTACTTGCATTATCATTATCATGATCTTTCTAGAAAGCATTACACCTTCAGGTGCTGCTCCACTAGATCCTTTGAGGTTTCTGAAAATGCGAGGTCCAAGTCCTACACATGCTGTTCCACCTTTGCTCCTACCTCCTGCGGATGCTTTTCCACAAAATCTGAAGGCATTAACTCTTTGTATGACTTGTTTGTGGTGGAAGGATTTGAGCATTGTTGGTAAATTGCCCAAACTCGAAGTTCTTAAACTAATAGGTGATGCCTGTAAAGGCAAAGAGTGGGAAGCAGCGGACCATGGTTTTCCTCGCTTGAAGTTCTTGTACCTGCGAGACGTGGATTTTCAATACTGGAGAGCTGGTTGTCATCACTTTCCCTTCCTTGAACGACTAGCTATTTTATATTGTCCTTATTTGGATTCAATCCCTCAAGATTTTGCAGATATAACCACGCTTGCTCGTATTAGTTTAACTGGGTGTCCAGAATCTTTTGGGAATTCTGCCAAGCAAATTCAACAGGACATGCTAGACAACTATGGTAATTCCTCCCTTGTGGTCAATATAGTAAGACATCTTCTTCCTTAAATTTAATTATTATATCATTCATTTACTTTTAACCATTTCTCCATTTAAATTACCATATGATCACAAATAAGAATCTGATCTTTATTTAAGCCACTGAGTTAAATTATACCTTTTCCCTATTATACAATCATTTTTTGTTTAAATAAAAAATAGTTTTTGTAATCCAAACTACACATTTCCAAAGTAAGTGTAAGTTTTTAAAAAAAAATTGTTTCCTGTGAAATTGTTTCAACAGTAAAAATCTGCTACAACATATAATTCTTTATAGCAAGCTGAATACAATAACCTTGATAATAGAACAATAATCTTCTTTAATAAGTTAAACTGCATTAATATTATATTCAAATCCGTCCAATAATGTTGTGCAAGTTCTTTTACCTACATGCTCTGTCTTGCTATAATTTTCCCTCGTTCCTTAATTTTGGAAAATCTAAATATTTTTTTGTTTTCTGCAGAAAAAGGTGATGACCTATTAGGTGCGTCACTGATTAGCCAATTCTATGAAAGAAATGTCAATTCATAACTTAATTGTATATGATTTTGAGTATAGCCGTCTGTCAGTGTTTTTTTAAATGCTCCAAATTTTATGTACATATTTAGCAATTCCAGTTTTGGTGGATTTTTGATTTATATGTTCTAAATTTTGGTAGGTCAAAATTGGAGTTTTGTTTAGTCTTTTCTAGATGTTGGTGGATTATAATAAAAATAGACCTGTATAAACAAGGAAATCAAAACTTCTCATTCAGTGATCTGCAAATTTCTTTTGCGATGGTGGCAACAGTTAGTCGTGAAAGTTGATGATAGCTTCCCTGACTTTCACATTACTGCATTTTCTTTCTATATATTGTTATGATTATGCATGTTTGTCTTGGGCCGATGGTCTATCGGAAACTGCCTCTCTACCTGCATAAGGTAGGGGTAAGGCTGCATACTAAGTTTATAGTTATTGTTGCATCACTGAACATGAGAAAATTATAACAAGTATCGGCGCCAACAAACATTGTCCTTATAAGGAAATAGAGCAGATTGGTGTAAATAGATGGTATCCAAAGGATTGGAGCAGTATGCTGATCACAAGTGAACCATATGAAAGTAACAAAGGAGATATTATGTCCTGATGCAATTAATTACTTGAGCAAAACATTGGTAGTAGTTTTTCATTTGGTTCTGTCTTTTTATCATCAATCAAAAGTATATACTATATATTACAAGATAAACATCATATTTTGCCTCAACGAATAGCTCTAAAAATCGATATTCTGTATAACAGTTCTCTAATCAAACTGAAAATACATTAACTAAATTAAATATTCTGATCAAACAAGCTTTAGCCTTGGCATATATAATTTTGAAGCAGAAATACAAGCAACAGATGTTCCATACTTGTCTTGCATGTCCTGTTGAATCTGCTCGGCTGAAATCCCGATAGCTTTTTCACAGTCGCTTATATCAATTAGAGCAAGTGTGATTATATCTGCAAAATCTCGAGTGATTGAATTCAAATACCAGCAACCTTTGAGAAATAGTTGTTCAAGGCGCGGAAAGTGATCACAACTGGCTCTCCAGTATTGAATCTCCAAATCTTTTAGTAGTAGGAACGTCAAGCAAGGGTACCCTTCAATGTTCAAATCCTTGAAGTTTAAGGGACTCGAGTTTGGGAAACTTACCAACAATGTTCAAATCCTTGCACTGCAAATAAGTCCCACGAAAAGCTAATTTCTTAAGGTTCTGTGTGATAGGACCAAACCTATTGTTGTATGTGAAAGTAGCCAAAACAAAAGAAAGAAAAATCAAAAAGAGATGAAAATATGATGTAAGCGCTTACATCGACATTCTTGTGATATAAGCGCTTACCTCGACATTCTTGTGATATAAGCGCTTACCTCGACATTCTTATGATGTAAGCGCTTATATCGGCATTTTTATGATGTAAGCGCTTACCTCGGCAGGGCATTCAAATGCCTATAAATAGGGATCTACGTTTTCATTTGTAGATCATCCCAAAACTTCTTCTTTCTCTCTTCAATTAATAAAGAGCTATTCTTTGTGTGGTCGTGGAGTATGCAAAAATTGTCGAACCACGTAAATCTTGTCTTGTCTTGTCTTGTGCAATTTATTGCTTTTCTCTCTTAAATATTATTTTCCTTCTATTAGCTTGACATGCTTCCCAACAACTGGTATCAGAGCACAGACAGTGTATTTCTGATAGAAAAGTATAGTATTGGTGCAGGTACTATTCACAAGAATAGTGCGACACTATTGATCATCGTACTATTCACATAAATTTTTTTGTGAAAAATGGCATCGGAAGAAAGGAAGGTTAAGATTGACAAGTTCAATGACAAAGATTTTGGATTCTGGAAAATGCAAATAGAGGATTATTTGTACCAAAAAAATTTACACTTACCTCTGACCGAGGTGAAACCGGAGACTATGGCCAAAGCGGATTGGGATCTTTTAGATCGCCAAGCTCTTGGTGTGATTCGTTTGACGCTAACACGAAATGTGGCATTTAACATCATTAACGAGAAGACCACTGCAGGCCTGATGAAGGCGTTATCAAATATGTACGAGAAGCCATCTGCTTCAAATAAAGTCTATTTGATGCGTCGATTGTTCAACTTAAAGATGATTGAAGGTGGATCAGTCACAGAACATATCAATGAGTTTAATACAATATTAACTCAGTTGAGTTCTGTTAATATAACAATTGATGACAAAATCAGGGCGTTGATTCTACTATCATCTCTACCGGAGAGTTGGTCTGCAACAGTAACTGCAGTTAGCAGTTCATCAAGAAGTACCAAACTCAAATTGAATGATATTAGAGACTTGGTTCTAAGTGAAGATATTCACCGAAGAGAATCAAGTGATTCCCCAGGATCTGCTTTTAGTACCGAAAGCAGGGGGAGAATCAACCAAAGAGGACAGAGTTATGGTCGTGGCAGATCAAAGTCAAGGAGAAGAGGACAATCCAAAAAATCGCAAGGACATTACTTGTTGGAATTGCGATAAAAAGGGTCACTACAGTAGCCAGTGTAGAGAACCAAAGAAGAAGAAGGAAGAAAATTCAGCAAAT